CTCATTGGCTAAGAATCCACAGTTCACTCTGGAAGTCATTTACTGCCTCTGTTCCATTACTAAAATGATCTGCTCGCGCAAAGAGCAAATTAGCAAATGCATGCCGGGAAGGAATGCATGATTTTCAGGAGTTCGAGCCTGCCAGTAAATCTTGTAATTTTGTCTTGCATATGTGACAAAACCACAGAAAACACACTGAGGAAATGCGCACAGGAACGCAAATTGCACATGGTGTACCACACCAAAAAAACGCGCGTAAACGAGGGTTCAAAACGCAGGGAGGCATGCACAGAGTTAACGAACAAGGGGGGATATTAAGAAGTCTCACCACACTCATCCAAACTGCAGAGGGCGTAAGCACTTAAACTCACCACGAAAGGCGTCAGGAAATGGGCGCGAAAACGCGAAATACAGATACAGTGTAACCCACTAAAAACATGGTGGTAAGAAATGCTTTGAGGAATCTACAGTGGTCACGTTAATGATTAACGGACCGGGCAAGGCAGGATAGAAACCACAGGGAACTCATCCAGAAGGATAAGAAAGAAAGTTCAATTAGACGATGTTATCCATGAGAAACTACATTTACAGCTTCAAATTACATGACAAATCAATTCTCATCAATGATTTCCTGAACGAAATACTGCTTAAATATTAGAAAAAAAACGTTAGACTTAAACATGATGATAGATGCGAATACAGCCATAACACTACTGGAAAAAAGACCTGAAAAAAATTTCAGGCTTTGAACGGGATTCGATCCCACGGCCTTTGCGTTGGACATCTATTACTTTACATTAGACTTAAACATATACGAAAGCGCCTTCTCCCGCAAATCTATCTTAACGGAGCGCCTTCAAATCGCATTAATACGATTACTCGTGATTTTGCCACTCTGCATTCTCTCCTACTTTCCTACGAAAAAGCGGTGATGATGGTGATGTGCCACTTGATCACTCTTGAAATTTTTCTGTTACGACTGGGCTTAGAAACTAAAAATTTAATCTCCGTAATTTATTCTACCTTCAGGTCTCAAAGCCCCGGCTCGTCAAGTACTTAGCCACACGTCCTCTTCAAAGTGCAAACATTACAGCCAAAATTTAATAACACATCTGCCGTTTCGTTAAGGTTGTACATGCGTATACTTAAGTCTTGAAAAACTGCGTCAAGTTTGGAAGTAAGGTGGACTTCTTAGCTTAAGCTTCGCATCTTAATGAAA